CACAGAGAAGATTGATACCCCTGGACATTACCAGACTCGTTTAGGTTTAAAACAACCTACAGGACCCACAAGAAATATGTGAAAAAAGCACTGAATCAAGGGCTCAAGAAACTTAGATTTTATTCCACAGTCATTAGCTGAATGAATTTTGGTGAATCTCACATTCTCAGTGCACCAATTGTTCTCATCTGTCATATCAAAGAATGTTCTCTAAAGTCTTTCCCAAATATAATGTTCTATGATTCTCTCCCTATAAAAAGTGTCAAAGTCATAGGACATATTCTTAACAACTAATTGCTCTTGAGTCAAACTTCTTTGTCAAATAAAATATGTTCAAAACCCTTAGTTAGTATCCAAAGCCCAAATATAAGACTGTTGGTACCTACCTCAGGTGGGCCACTATCCCCAAGGGAGCTGATCCTCCCAGCTGGCAGAATACCTACCACACCTCCCCACCACTTAGCTACCTCTGGGGGCTGGTCCTCCCAAGACTCCAGTCACAGGTGATGTTCTTCTTTACAATGTTTTGAAAGCCAATTGTGAAGGACACGGTCATCTGCAGGATCTTATTCATGTGGCTTTTGTATGCAATACACAGCTATGGACACCAAATAAGTCCTTCAATTAATAGAACTGCAAGAAACAGCCATTCAAACAATATGTAGTGAAGAGTCCACATTCCTAGAACTCAGCCACACACTATGAGAGAGACAACCCAGTTCCTGCCCTCCTACAGCTTACCAGTCTAGCTGGAGCTGTAGAGAGAAATAATTTAGAGACTATTGTTATTTACTTACCTCAATAAAGCTGGGGGGAAATAAAATAAGCACTTTTTCTGAGGTTAAACCAAAATTGTTATTCAACAGAGTTTTTAAATGTCTAGCACGGCACTTGAGGATTTTCTAGTATCTCAATTAGAAAACCCCTGTTCTAACCCAATTACCGATGCAACCTTGAACAAGTCACTTAACCTCTTAGAGCCTCAGTTCTTCAACTCTAACTCCCCAGCATCCTTAGCTTCTAGGTCAATTAAGTGCAAAGTTGTTTGGCACAAGAGGAATTCAGAGGAGGAGTTTTCAAGCTCGGCACTATTGACATTTTGGGGGATGGATAATTCTTTGTTGTGGGAACTCTGCTATGTATTGCAGGATATTTAGCAGCAATCCTGGCTTCTACCCACTAGATGCCAGTAGCACCTCCCCAGTTGTGACAACCAAAAATGTCTCTATACGTTGCCAACTCTCCCCTAGGGTCCAAGTCTCCCCATTGGAAGCCCCCACAGTGGAGGACAGGCTGGAGATGGGAGGGCCCCACAACCCTGAACCATTTAGCCCTAAGCCCCACTGCAGCCCAACTAAGAAAGGACTTGAAACTACTGCCATGAGCTCCACCACACTGGTAAGACTCACTCTGGTTCCCAAGGGGCAAATGAGCTGCACCTCTTTTATGAAGGACGGCAGAGCAGAGGATGTAAGAGGCGTTCAAGAAATTTATCAGTCATTCCATCAATAATAACAACTATAATAACAGTAACTAGCCACTGAGTCCTTACCTCTGTGCAAGCACCTTACTAGACTATCTCTTTGAATCTTCAACACAGTCCTGAGAGGCAGACCATATTATTACCCATTTTACAGATAAGTAAATTAAGGTATAGTATACTTAAGTAAGACACTGAGGACACACAGGGTGTAGAATCAGGATTCAAACCCAGATAGTCTGACTATGGAGTATGCACTCTTATTCTTAGAAAGCAAAGAAAATACTGGAGCAAATAAAACCTCTATAGGTTTCACAACTAATTCAAAGCTATTTCCAGGTAACAACACACAAGTGGGGACCACTGGTGCCTCTTCATGCTTGAAACAGCAGTTAAGAGACCTAGAACCTCCACCCAAAATACCTTGAACAAATCATAACAATCACTCCTTTCTACTTCTGTTTTTTCCATCTCAAACTCACAGAATAACACCAATCTCTCCCTTCCCACCCGGCCTGGAAGCGTGAGGACCACTACTCACGTGTGTGTACTGATCCAGCCGATAGCCCCTCTGGGCAGCCGGGGGGATTAGGACAAGGTGTCGAGGCTGACGAAGGCTGAACCTCCCACAGAAAGGTTCCATCCCACTGGTGAGGTCCCCCTCTAAGCTGGAACTTTCTGAGCCTGGATGCAATTTGGATAAAATAGGAAAACGGGTATAGATGTTAAACAAGACAAAGCTTCCCAACATGTATGCAGGGAATGGATTGTGTGTTCAAGGTGATGTTGGTCCTTCAGCCCTTGGAAGAGCTGGGCAGGGCTTAAGTGGCCAGCACACCCTCCCCACTCTGCCACCAGGTGAAGGCTTCAGCCATAAGAAACCCTTTCTGTCTGCCCTGGAACACTGAAAACCCATTACCATTTTCTCTGTGTACCAGGACATGAAAAAAATATTGAAAAGCAAAGTGACAAGGAATGGCAGCCGTAATTTAGTTCAACCTTAGTAGTCATTTCAGAAACACACCCTCACGTTTAAAAAAATGTTTAAGACTACTCTCTTATGTAATAATTCCTTTAGATGCAATTTGAATTAAACAAGATTTGTGTGGTTGTTGCTGTTTCCACGTATGTATTTACCCTTTTCCCACTGTGTGGCATGGAAGTATCTGCAGAGCGCTCCAGTCCATCTGTCTGCTCAGCAGGAATGCCTTTTCCTCCTGTCAACACTCACACCAA